CCAATACTCTCCTCATTCAAATACTTAACAGTCATAAGCAATATGAGGAAAAAGTAATTATAAAAAACTCTCCCAGTACTCTCCTCATTCAAATACTTAACAGTCATAAGCAATATGAGGAAAAAGTAATTATAAAAAACTCTCCCAATACTCTCCTCATTAAAATACTTAACAGTCATAAGCAATATGAGGAAAAGTAATTATAAAAAAACTCTCCCAATACTCTCCTCATTCAAATACTTAACAGTCATAAGCAATATGAGGAAAAAGTAATTAATTACAAACAACACTTTGAATAACAAATTTACTAAAATTACAGAAAAATACATTTAACCACACACTTTTATAATAAAAAAATAACATGTTTTGTTTGTTTGTAATTAAGCACAAAGCTACACAATAGACTATCTGTGTTCTGCCCACCACGGGTATCAAAACCCGGTTCCTAACGTTGTAAGTCCGCAGACATACCGCTGTGCCACTGGAGGGTAACATGTTTTGAAAAATCTGAATTCTAACAGTGTTTAATAAATGTACATTTAATTTAGCACTGTTCTGGTTCATTTGTTATTCTATTTTTTACTTATATGTTTTTGTATTGTTACTTTTTTGCCTCAAGTTTTTCACATGTAACATTTTAATTTCTATGACGATAAAGGAAGCAAAAGGTTAAAAATTAATATGCATACGATGATAACATTCCAAATCTATTTTGCATATTTATAGTTGTTTTTTTTTGTATTCAGAGAGCGTGACTTTTAGATTCGTTTGTTTTAGAGTAACGCTGTCCCACCTGGTGACCTTTTAGATTAAAACAATGAGACTACAAGTTTAATACGTTATCAACAGAGTAAACTTTTCTTGTGACACATAAAGGTTGGTATCTAATTTGTTAATAAAAAGAATTACAATTTTAACTTATGCGTCAGAATCGTCCGGCAAACATTAACACACGTCGAGTGTTTTGAAATCACTTTGGTAATAATAGAAAAATAAAACAGTGTAATGGCCTTTGAAATGTTATAGATTAGCATTTATAACTAAGCACTAAACAAATTTCACTATGTGGTCCACTGACTATATTACATTCAGTTTAGCTTTATATAATGATATACGTACCATAAATATTTTGTTTAACTACTTCCTATTCATCAAATCTATTTATGTGCTTTATATATTTGCAGATATAGCTAAATGCAGCCATTAGGAAGTTAATTTTCCATCCGGAATAAACTCAGTACAAATAAAACGGCTATTTTTCTTCAGGAATACAGCAATTTTCAAACGTTCAGAACTTTCTGTCAGCATGGCTAACGCCATTCTACCAACCGGAACGGCCGTTAACTCTGTCTCAAAACAAGAGGGAAAAAATCAACAAGCTAGTCTGTATGACAGCTGGTTGTTATATTAATTCACCGAAGAAATTAGATTCGCTGTTCCTTCTCCCCTCTCTGCACCTGGTCAGGGTAAACAACGAAAAGAAATGTTCACAATCGGGCTTAACGAAGCACAGACAATTAGTAGCGCCCCTACTGGCACCTATGAATACTAAACAAAGCAAAAATCTCACTTTTCAAGCAACAGGACGTGTTCGCTTTACGAGCATTTTCTTATTTCGTTGTAAAATTTTTACAGTTGACCTTTTTCAGATAAACACTT